CCTTCACAGCAGAGACCTGCCAAGCTCATCTGCATTATCCCCTCAGATGTGTGAAAGCCCATCCGACTGCACTCACCTGTCCTGTGTGCCATTGCAAATGATATATTATGAATGAGAAACAGAACAAGTTTACCTATTTACTTGTGAAAGAAGGAACTAGAACGTGGAGAACAGACAGCTGAAAAACATCAAATGTGTATGCACAACATTTATCGATCAAAAGTTATAAAATTAACTAAAAACTGTGTGGAAGCAAATAATGCATCACTTGCTATCATCTATAGTTACAAATTCTGCCAACGCAAGACCGCATTTTTGGTATTAGAAACGTTCTGGTTTCCATTTATGGTATGAGTATTAGGGTATTGTCCATTAGTGTTTCAGCGAGTGTTTGCTGTGTGCAGGAAAACAGTCAAACGTACAGAACAGTGGCCAAAATCCTGAAACCCATCATCTGACAAGGATAGCTAAAATGTATGTCTGTCACCAGATATCTGCCTGTGAGTGCAGCTAAGAATTCCTCTTTAGATGTAATTTCTCAGCTTCATTTCATTGTCCATGCTCACATTGGTAGTCAGACTGTTAAAAATGGTAACACACAAAAACACACAAAACAAATTGAGAAAAAGCTCTGCACATCTTGGAACAGTAATCCTTGACTCTTACACCAGATAAACTCCTCATTTTCAGATGACATTTACATCACTAAGACTACAGAAAATAAACATGTCAGCGGCCATGAACAGGATAAAGGACGAGTAAAATTCAAATTGAATCGTGTTGTGACATTGTTTTGTAAGTTGACAAATATGTGATTGCTGTTGCTGGCCTGGCTGTCTGATTTCGCTTTACACATTACAAGTGTGGGCGTGTGTGTGTGTGTGTGTGTGTGTGTGTGTGTGTGTGCGTGTGACAGATCCCTCATGACTTGTCTTTTGCTATGCAAGCAAAGAAGCCCAGCACAAGTGAACAGACAGGTGTGAAATCAACCTGTCAGGAAAGCGAAGAGAATCATTTTCAGTAAAACCTGACACTTCAGGGCTACATTTGTGAAAACTTCATTTTACAGCCATCTTCATATCACCCAAAACATGGTTGTGGTAGTCCATTGACAACTGAGTAGAAAGGCAAAGTGTGTGTGTTTGTCAAAATCAGCTTGAAGCTCCTTGTGAACAGTTTTTAGCTTTTTATGAAACAGACTGAAATTAAGAACGATGCCTCTATGACCTATAAGACAGCAAACAAGCCCCTTAGTGAGACGATTATGTGCCACGTTTCGATGTCAGACGAGGATTTAAACGAAACACAGAATGGAAGTGTTTTTTTCCCCCATTTCTATTGGCAAAGATTACCAGTGAATGATTTGTTGGACAGTTAAAAGAATGCAAGAGTACACCGCCAAATCGGAATAAAGAGAACCTGTATCTTTGTCCGCGGGTGGCTGAGGCATACTGAAGCTGCGTTTGCATATTTCTTACTAATGATGACAATGACTTTATCAACAGGTGGCAAATTTTAATATGTGAACGCCACAGAAGGCCAAATGGGGCATAAATACATATCACACTATCTGAACTTATTATATCAAAGATTTTACTTTGTATTTCATTACAATTCAAATGGAATGGAAATTAAAATGGAGCCCCCCCCATTCTAGTTTTTCTGTGTGCCTGTATTATGTGTTTGAGTGCACCTGAAATCCTGACTCAGTCGAGGTTCTTACTGTCAGACTTTTCAGATAGCTGGTCTTTGTTTTCATAAGTACTCTCCTGACGCGTCCTTCTGAGTCAACCTGCTTCAATGACTCTACACAGGATCTGTAACTTCAATAGGGTTTTGTCTGCCATCAATATATCACCTGTTCTAAAGTGTCTCGTGGTGTTATTTAATGTAACCTTACTTGCATTAGATGAAAGTAATCTGGAATCCACTGAGTCCAAACAAGGTAAGATATGTGCCGGGCGTGTCTCGAAGTGTTTGGAATCGTTCTTTCCCTTTACTGAAGTGTTTTGGGTCAATTGTAGGGGTCTATGAAATGACTTTATGACTTTAACGTCACACATGATTGTTTCTAAGATGTCATCATCTAGAGTTTGCTGCTTTGTTGTGAAGGATTCTGTTAAATTAAAGAGTCAGTCTTTTAGTGTTTTATTTTGAAGCAGAATCTGCATCTCTCAATATCTCAACAAGTTTTGTCACCATTGTTTGATCTTATAGTCTCTACCTGCCATCCAGATGACATGTTAACGTGGACATGTTGTGAAAAATCCACTTTCGCTGTGTTTTTGAACATACATCTGGCTAACCTGAGTGTCTACCAACCCACAAAATGTGAAATAAACCCTTCCATTATTTTGACTGTGGTGTGCATAAGTCTTACAACACAGAGAAAAACGATCCATTTCAACTTTGCTCAACTTGTGATGATGTCACAGTGGGATTCTGCTGCTATCTCCACCCATGATGTTCTTGTGTTTCAAATACATGGGCCAGACAACAAGCCGGGGGTGTCTGGCACCGTGTAGTTCCTAGAGCACCTCCTCTTTTTACATTCTTCGTATGGGATGTAAATAAAGAAACGTTGGTTCAGCGCGTCGATCAAAGGTTCGTAGGTCTCCACCCATGGACTCCATCCCCAGCCTAGAGCAAAACTTTTGCGCAGGTCCGCCATTTTTATTCTATTTTCTTTTTTGGGGGGGGGGGGGGCTCATTGCATTTAAAGAGAGACACACCAAAACAGAGCGTACTGAGAGAGCTGGTTTATACAGGATCACAAACCTCCTCTGGTGGTTGAGTCATGTTATATTTTTGACCAAAGGACAGCACAGATGTTCCATTTAGACCACAGGGGTAGAAAAGGGGGATAATATGTCCTCTTAAAGATTACTACTAGTCTACCCCCACAAATGTGGAGCAGTGGCGTCATCTGGCCTGGGATTTTTTTCTAGCCCCAGACAATTCTTCCTCTTCTCTGTGACTTACAGTTAAGGTTGGACAATAACATAACTGCACCCTAACACTCTAGCCATATGGCACCCAAGGAGACGGCAGTTTTGTAATTTCCCGTAGTCAGTGAATGCAACAGAGGCAAGACCACAGGTTGAATTTTAGACTTTACATATTGATAATTAAAGGGTAAAAACAGAGGCACTAAGCCTGTCATGAGGCAGGGAGAGAGAGAAACACAGGCAAGAGTTTGTATTCTACAGATTGTGCCGGGATTATTTAAACTATCTGGAGAGCCTACTGAAAAAATGCACTTAATTCAACAGTGTATCTACTTAAAATAAAAACATTTTGAAATAAAAATGCTTCTTTAAACATTGAATGAATCTCCTTACATGTTTGAATTTCCATCACAGAGTGTTGTATAAATATTCATCAGAATACAGGAATTAAGTGTTGGTTGCTCAAAACGTCCTGTGGGTAGCACCCCCAGACCCCCCTCTTATTACCCATGCCTCACTATGTTTAAAATGAACTCTGTACTGTTGTGGAATCGCTGGGCTACGTACAGCCAATGATGCCCACCTAAAATTTTACCAGCCAATCCTTACATGACAAAGAGGCCTAATTTTCCTTTGCAACAATTCCCTAGAAACCTCACAAGAAATATCAAACATTATAAATATTAGTGTATTATGCAAGAATAGTGGGGGAATGAGCCAGAGGCCACCAAATTTGGGCTTTTGTGAACAGAATTTTTCTCTGGGGGGGGGCATGTACGACTTTATTTCACCCAGGGATTAATCAAGGGACGCCCCCTTGTGAGCCACTGGCTGACTTCTCCATGTGTCTGCATCCCTTGCAAGAATAATGTAACTTTGCGTCACGCTGACCTCAGCTTAACATGAATAGAATTAAGACAGAGGCCTACTTTTAAAATGTAGATAAGGTGCCAGAATGAATGAGAAAAAAATCATGATAGAGCTTGTTTATTGGCTCAGCCCCTTATGGTCCAAGAAACCCCCAGGTGTGGAGTGAGGGAGGTGACTCAGGTGTCAGCCAGAATAAAGCCTTGTGTACTTTGATGGAGCTCTCTCAGTCTTGTATAGATGGGTCATACAGAGTTTACAGGCAAAACAGTTTACATCCACCTTATCTTCAGCTACACAATAGCCAATCACAAACTCTGTTTCATCTCAATAATAAAAATGGATCTAGGGTTGACAGTCTATTAAATTCCACTGTCAGGCTAAAGCTTGTTAAAAAGTTAATTGTCTTGACCGAATTAGCCTAGTCAACATTTAAAAGTTTCAAAAGCGATAACAAAACGATACAACTATATCAAAGTGAAAAAGATACTTGTTTTAATCCTCTTAAAGAGGCATTGGGATCTTGGCGCCAAAGCTGTACGCACTGTTCCTGATTACAATTACGTCATCAATGTGTGCCAATTTATAAATAATTCAGGTAATTTACAGTAGGCCGCAGTAGAAAAAAAAAATGAAATCACACTAGTCTGGAATCACATATAAAGGGAAGGAGGGTACACAAATTAAGAAGGAAACTTTAAAAAAATAAAGAAACAAGAACAATATTGACAAACAATATATAAGGTATTTCTTATAGAGATGGTTACGGCTCCAAATTATATTGTTGTCATCAAATATTTTCTAAGTCATTTTGAACTCAATCAACGACATAAAACTTTCTCTCTCACTGAATGATTTTAATTTCTTCACTTTGAATCACTTGTTTGGATAAGTAACACAATTATTCTGTAACAAGTCTTTGCTGCCATCTACAGGTTGCTTTTGTTGCCAACCAGAACGTGCAGGCTACCTGTAAAATAATGTATCTGCACGTTTAATTATAATGACTGAACCATAGACTGTGAAACCTGAACACATCATAATGTCCTAACTACGCCTAACTAACTGTACTGTTTTCAGCAAGCAGATATTCATTGAAGCCGTGATAGTTTTGCGTAACAAGATAGTTTAAGTCCCTTTAGTAATGGGATGTCGCGGTTTTCAATTCCGATATTTCCGATTACATCCAAACGTCGCATGAATATTTTCAACGTGACGACGGAGGAAGTGAACGCATCAGCTAACACTTTGCTCTGAGTAACAGACACACTACACAAGGTAAAACATTGAATTGTATAATGTTTGAACTTCTGTTTTTGGCAATTGTTTTATACGTTTTAGTGACGTTTATCGTTTCTCATTGAAGAGATTGTTATTCGTACATTAAACTGTTAACATTGTCAGTTAACACCTGATGTTTGCTGCAATGCTAATAGCTACGAGCTAACGCTGTGAAACATTTTCACTGTTATTTAGAATAGAAATGTCACACAGGACTTTCTTAGCTTAGTAAGGAAGACAACGGGGTGACACATCATTTTGTAATTTTACAACAGCTCACGATAATCCACATTTTGGGGGCATTACGTATCATATAACATATATACAAACACATGACGTAAGATAGGAGGAGTACACAGCAACAAGCTGGAGAGTTGTTTATGTTGAGATTAGCCTTTCCTAAGTTTTGCATACTTGGAGTATACTGAAAACAATGAGGCTTTAAGCTACTTTATCTGATGGTAATTCCTGTTCACTCGGCTTCAATAGAAACACTCACATTGTGTGTTGTTTTGTAATTTCAGAGACATCATCTTTCAGGGTTTCCTCATGGATTCTCCGAGGCACACTAAAAATGCCAACCTGACCCGAGAGCCAAAGAACAACCAGAAGCAGCCATCCGCTCCTCGCCAGAAAGATGCCTATGCCAGGCTTCTGAGCCAGCACAGCAGCAGCAAGTTCAGTCAGTATCTTGAGCAATATGCGAGGGAAACATACTTTGAAAGAGAAGGAACAGGGCTGAACACACAAGCCCAGAGTGACAGGCTGAATATACCGCAGCGAAAGAGGGACCAAGCACCATGCGATTTCTCAGATTCAAGTGACTTCTCCCCCTCATCCATGAAAAGCAAAGGGGAGGAAAGTTCACTGTCCTTGTACATGGAAAAATTGAGCAGCCGCAGTGCTTTGCAGGACTGTGAGAGGAAGCAGGGTGTGTCCGACAGGCAGCAACGGGGACAGAGAAGAGACACCGCCACAAGTCAAGATGGGGACATCGAATCTGGCGAGGAACTCGTCTCTTTGAAACCCAATGACTTGAAAAAACAGCAGAAGCAGCAGAAGAAAAGTAAAGGCTCTAGGGAGACTGACTCGTTTGCTGGACACCCACAGTCCCCAATGACAGCAAGTACAAGTGGACAGGAGCAAGAGAAGACGACAAAGTCAAAGAAAAAAAATCCGCCAAAGCACCAAGAAGAGAATAAAGGCAGAGAAGAGGCGTCGAAACCTGAGGTTGACCCTCAGATGACAAGGCCAAAGTCCCCTCATGGCAGAGACAAAAAGACACAGCAAACCAGAGGTAAATGCTTGGTTAGGTGTATCTGCTATGATAGTGTTGTTTTGATACTGTTGATCATTTATTTTGAATACATTAATACTTTGAATGTATTTTAGCTCCTAGTGCCAATTCCCCTGCCGACAAGAGTAAGAACAAAGGAGGGAGAGGATCAAAGAAACAAGTGTTTGAGCCCTACATGACGCTCGAGGAGGTTTCCCATGGCCTTAAAAGAGGAGAGCTCATTCAGGTACAAATCCAGCGTTAGAGTTCCTTAGACTGTATTAATATCCATAAGATTACTTTTACTTGTGTAAATCAGTGTAGTGATACAACAGAAAACTCAAAGTACTTGGTCTTTTTTGATTCTCTGATTTTTTTTTTTGAAATTTTCAAAATCCAAAACAAAAAACGCCAACCAGAATTGACATTTTTAGACACTTCAAATCCATTATTACCCCTTTACCTTTTCTGAAGATTATTTCCTTTTTAATATAGATGGAAATGGAAATAACAGGAGCAGAATGTACTGTTTCATACTGATGTGGTGGTCAAACTATGTGGGTCTAAGTTTGTCATCATTTGAGTGTACTCAATAATTACAACATAAGAAAAACCTCTATCTTGGTCTCCTTTACAATAAATCTAAAAACTCCATACTTGTTGTCCTGCATAGTTTCATTCATTTTACTAAGCCAGACCTTGAATCATGTGCTGCCAAAAAAAATGGTGTAGTGACATTTGTATTTTATTTTAGAAGTTAATATGTTTCTGAATTCTACATACTTTGTTCGCAGGGTCAGTTAAGAATCAACCCGAAGAAATTCCATGAAGCTTTCATCCCATCTCCCGTAAGTTTATGAAGGATGAATTAGACGCATCAAAGCATTTGCAGTGTCCTGTATAATGAATGTATATGTGATTTCATTGTATTGGCCTGCACTCTATTATTGAAAGTCCTGAAAGGTTGAAGTCAACATTTAAAGACGTGCTTGAGACAGAAACCCTTTCTGTGTTTTCAGGATGACACCCGGGATATATTCCTCGATGGGATTGTAGTCCGTAACAGAGCACTGAATGGAGACATGGTGGCGGTGCAAATCCTGCCTCGAGAGCAGTGGAAGGTAGACCACATTTACAACCCCTTCAATTTTCACAGCTTTTATTTTTATCACTACAGGATCCAAGTTTTGAGTGAGTCAGCAGGATTTAAATTCACTGTACGTGTCCTTTCAGGTTGTGAGGTCAGACACTGACTGTGATGGCACCAGTGAGTCAGAGACCCAAAGAGACAACACAGTGCAGAAGAAAAGCGCACAACGTACACCCAGGCTTGATGTAGACCAGGGCAGCGACCGAGAGGAACTCATCAGAAGAGTTCAGAACACCACTCTCACTGACACAGGTACTGTACCAGAGTGTAAAGAACATAGAAACACTTGTTTTAAATATTACAAATTCACCTGGTTGGTAATGGTCAATTCAATTTGTGTTCATTTTTTGCTTGAAGCAAAAACAGAGCATTAGTTTAACTTGTTAGTGTGAATGTGTCCTCTCTTCTGGTGGAAACAGGAGAACCTCTGGAAGACCCCCCAACCCAAAGATCCAACGGGGAAATTCTTCAAAAGACGGCTAAAGTGAGCTTCTTGACTGTTTGTCCACCAAGTTAGAAAAAAAACACTCAATCATAGGTTTTTTCCTACCAGGCCACAATAAAAAGGTTGTTATGTGTTAACTATATACGGTATATGCTAAAAGACGAGGCAGTTAAGTGAAACAGTTAGTCTAATTATGTATAATTTCCCAGTTGGCCTGGGAATCTTACAGTTTCTCAAGATTCGATTGAGAATCTATTTTCTGGATTCATGAATCAAAGTCAATTTTTGAATTAGTACATACTTCAGGATGGTAAATGAGCTTATATAGTAGCTTCCAACTACTCTCTCGACTACTTTTACACCACGTCACACCCACCCATTCATACCCCTTCACACACTGATGGTAGTGGTTGCTATGTAGTATCATCAGAAGTAACTAATGCCATTCATACACCGCCAGCGAAGTAGCAGGAGCAGTTCCGGGTTAAGTGTCTTGCCCAAGGACACATCGGACATGTTGCCCAGCTGGGGATTGAACCCTCAACCTTCCGGTTGCCTGTCCGGTTACTCTACCAACTGAGCCACAGCCTCCAGAAGACTGGTGGATTTTCTTTTTGCTGCTACATTTGGCATTCTACTGAGTGAAAGAGCTATCCTTAGTACTTTCCAGGGAGTGACTGATTAGCCCCCCCAAAAAAACGATTTTTGGAAGTTATGAATCTATTTAAAATCTCAGAAGATAAGAATCTTGATTTTTACATAAATAGTTGTTTTTCCCAACTCTAGTTCCCAGTTTTAATTACAACCTAAACCATTTATTTTAAGTCTCCACAAAAACATTCAATTCATTCATCTGGTTCATCATAAAAGCAAGATATTTATAGTCACTGAAGAGCTTTTCTTTAAGAAAACTAGGGTGCAGAAATGAAAATCTAAGATCACAAAGTTGCTACCTGATCATTCACTTATTCATTTGGTTTGCTTCTGCTCAGGACATTTTTATTAAATTCTGTCTCTTTACACCCCTTCTTTTTATTCTACCAGGTGGTGTACATTGTTGAAAATAAACACTCCAGAGCTGTGACAGGCTTCCTCAAATTCCTGCCAGATAAACCTTTTGCCATGTTCTCCCCTGTCGACCACCGGGTGCCCCGGATTAACATCCCCCTCACCGACTGTCCTGAAAACTTCAGTACCCGCCCAGGCGACTATACAAACACCCTGTTCATATGTCGGATCACCAACTGGGCAGCAGACAGCAACTTCGCAGAAGGGTGAGTGTTGACATTTAAACATCACAACATTATTTACAACAGTAGAACAACTAACGGTGCTCTCTCCTGGTGTCTCCTCCAGTCAACTCGCTAAGACGCTGGGGCAAGCTGGAGAGATCGAGCCAGAGACGGAGGGCATCCTGACGGAGTACGATGTGGATTGTTCTGAGTTCTCAGATGATGTGTTGGACTGCCTGCCCAAAAACCTGCCCTGGACGATCCCACCTGAGGAGATGAGGAACAGGAAAGATCTGAGGTATGGCTTTTCTGTTTGTATTTTGAAATATAAATGAGTTACAGTTGCATGCCTGTTTAAAGGCCTGAGGGTCCTAGAGCAACACCTGCAGTGTTTATAATTGTTGTGCTTATAATTTCAGTTGTCATCCATTGGCAACAAGCATGTGTACTGTAGAACTTCTTAATTTAGATCATGTTTGATACAGAACTATTTTATCATGCGTAGGACAGAGTGTATCTTTACTATTGACCCTGCGACAGCCAGAGACCTGGACGATGCTCTGTCCTGTAAACAACTCCCTGACGGTAAACAACCTCTATTATTGATCTCAGTGATGAAGATGATTATGGTGAATTCTGATCACAGATATTGATTCTATTGTTTTAGTCACGGCTGTCTCTTTAACACAGGTAACTTTGAGCTGGGAGTCCACATTGCTGATGTGAGTTATTTTGTGGAGGAAGGCAATGCTCTGGATAACATCGCCAGCCAAAGAGCAACAAGTGTGTACCTGGTTCAAAAGGTGAGAGTTCATACTTACATTATAAAAGAAAATACTTCACTTTCATTCATCTTCTGTATTATCAGAACTTTGACTGACCCCCTTTTGATACACAAACCTTTTCTTATTGTCTTGTATCCCTCACCAGGTGATCCCCATGTTGCCCAGGCTGCTGTGTGAGGAGCTGTGCAGTCTGAATCCTCTCACTGACAGACTCACGTTCTCTGTCATTTGGAAAATCACACCAGAGGGAAAGGTATGGCCATGTAAAAAAACAACGTGGACCTATTAAAGCTGTCCATGTTGTTTTTTGTCTGTTTTTTTCTTATACAAGTAGACTGAATGTGCCTTACATTGAAACATGAGATAGAATCAAATCCGGTGTATAAGGCGCACTTTTTGCACTTATTTCTAAAAGGTTAGCTGCTTCCTGTCTACCGGTATAAAATGCTGAGACACGTGCCGATGCTGTCATTACTGCAAGTGTAGACACCACCATCACGCAATGCACAGAACTTTGACACTCTTGAAAGTTTGCTCACGTTCATTAAATGTTGCAAACGGCCGCTTCACTGCTTTAAAACTAGCTGGGACACATAAAGATGAAGACCAGACCATTGTGGAGCGCTAAGGCTGGTTATCTTCACTGGTCTCATGATTTGATCCATTCAGGTCACATAAATTAAAAACATTCAGGTAAAGAGGATAACACGGTCTGATGGCTGATTGATTTAGCAGGAAATCTCTCTCGATGCTCCGGGTGGTTATTGAATCATATTCCATTTCTCCCTCCAGATCCTCAGCGAGTGGTTTGGCCGCTCAGTCATTCGCTCCTGTGTGAAGTTGAGTTATGACCACGCTCAGAGCATGATCGAGGCGCCTGAGAAGATGTTCTCTGCTGAGGAGCTGCCTCCGGTGGACCCTGAGCACCCCATTGATGAGATCCATCAGGCTGTGCTCAACCTGCACTCCATCGCCAAGAACCTCCGAGCTCAGCGCTTCTCAGGGGGGGCTCTTAGACTGGATCAGGTTGGTCCTGCTGTTTATCTTTTCTATATCAGGTGTGATGGAGCATGAAGGAAGTGTCTCAAAGAAAGTATCAGGCTTAAGATTATAACTTAAAAATTATAAAGATACAAATTCATCTGTGTGATAGGAAGGTAGGACAACTTTCAAATAAATGAAGTCAATTGTGTAAACTTACGGTAATAAAAGCTAAGTCATCTTATTAATAACTCAATTCATTGTTATTGTCAGTTATGAAAAAGTTTAAAAAACTACACAATATATGTAATAGTTGAATATCTGTATCTAAAAATGAGAGAGCTCCTTTTAGATAACATGAAAGTTATTTGCAAAAGATTTAACGAGAGTATTTGAGCTAGCTGAGGTGCGATATAAAATCGTCCCATGATTTCAGAATGAATGGTAAAACCCAGATTATTGGATTCATTTTCTGTTTCTTGTTTTGAATTTAGTTGAAACTGTCATTCACCCTGGACAAAGAGACCATGATGCCTCAAGGCTGCTATGTTTACCAATACAAAGACAGCAACAAGTGAGTAACAGACTGGTGTCACGTACATGCCTACCTCTGTGTGCAAAGTTCATGTGAAACATCATCCTGAAACAATCTGCAGTCCTTTATATCAGCTCTCATCCCTGTTTACACTATTTAACTCTCAGGCCCAGCCCACACATTGGAGGGAATTTCTTTTTAAACAGATGTTTTCCTCCTCCCGTCCACACACACTAAGTTCTCAGAAACATTTTCGTTCAAATAAAAGCGTGCTATACTAAATACAGCTGCCATGAGCATGCCAGGTCAACAACACTTTCCTTGACATGTGAACATTTCAGTTACAAAGTTGTCACCTAAAATCAAGTTTACGTGTGTACCAAACGCCAAAAGGAACAGAAAAATCTACTTAAAAAAAATATCGGCCTATGGATATCATTTCTGTGTTTTCCAGGTTGGTGGAGGAGTTCATGTTACTGGCCAACATTGCCACTGCCAACCACATCTACCACAAGTTCCCCCAGCTGGCCATGCTCAGACGACACCCTCCACCCAAAGCAAAGATGGTGGATGAGCTGCAAGAGCTCTGTGACCAGCTGGGCATCAGCATTGATCTGTCCTCTGCAGGAGCTCTCCATGTCAGTAACACAACAGATATGTTTTATCCTCAATAAGATTAGATGTTCTTAAAATGATCAAATGATAAATCACAGATTCACAAGTTATTACATTTCTTGTCTATTGAATGTCTTCTAGCTCTCTTACTTTGTCACAAAAGGAAATAGTACACGTTTTGCGCTGACAGAAACTTAAGTGATCGAGTTTGTGGGTCTTTCCCTCGAATGTTTGAGACATATTGTCTTTGTATTAATGCCTCAAATCTGCTTTTCTGACATGCAGAAGAGTATCAACACTACTCTTGGTGACGATGAGTACACGGCCGCCAGAAAGGAAGTCCTCACTCACATGTGCTCCAGACCCATGCAGGTTAGAGCTCAGCAACTCCTTCTGTTGACCTTCTATCCATTTGTTAAGCCTGCGTGGAATACATGTGTTTTGTCAACCCAAGCTTTTGTTGAATGATTGTGTCTCTGTGTTTTCCCAGATGGCGTTGTACTTCTGTTCGGGTGGACTGAAAGACGAGAAGTTATTTAAACACTACGCCCTCAATGTTCCTCTCTACACTCATTTCACATCACCCATCAGACGCTTTGCTGACATCGTCGTTCATCGGCTGCTGGCTTCGTCTCTAAGTGCGTTCCTTCCCTACCAAAGTCACTAAAACACACACACACACACACACACACACACACACACACACACACACACACACACACACACACACACACACACACACACACACACACACACACACACACACACACACAAACAACAGTGTGCCCTTTTTGTTTCAAACAGTGATGCTGTTGTTGATTCAAAGAGAACAAAGCAGCCTCAGATCTCTCATTCAGTTAACCTGTTGTAGTTTTTGCTGCTGTGTTTCCTTTTTGTTTCTGCACTGAAAGGTCCTTTCTGATAATAACATGCGTGTCTTCGTGCAGAGTGTGGACCTCATTTGGGGCTGTCGACAGAAGAAGTCCAAAAACAGGCATCCCAATGTAATGACAAGAAAACAATGTCAAAGAGAGTCCAGGAGCTCAGCTCGGAGCTTTTCTTTGGCGTGTTTGTGAAGGTTGGTACCTTAGGAGTCTGTCAGAGTGAAACACATGGAAAAAATAGCATAACATTATCTTTTTTATTGTCATCTTTGTTAAAGTTGTCATGATTCAATGATTAGCTTGGACATCAAAAACTTGATGAACTTTTAAAATCATATTTGAAGATGTTATTATCTCATAAAGAAATGATAAGTGTGATGTCATTGTTTCCCTGATCATCCTAAGTGTTAAATAAAAACTGCTGTTGGACCTTCTTGCGCATTCTCTTCCCCAAGCGTCATTTAGATATAAAATAAGTCAGTTTTTTTGATGCTTATTCAAAATGTTGTTGTTACTACCTTCTATGAAATGACATGTTGTTCTGTGTTCACAGGACTGTGGTCCTCTGGACTCTGAGGCCATGGTGATGGGGGTGCTGGATCAGTCCTTCGATGTTCTGGTTCTCCGATACGGAGTTCAGAAACGCATCTACTGCAAGGTCAGCTCCATCACATGCCCACTAACAGGGAGAAGTTTTAGTCTTCATTTTTTACATCTATGTACATGTTTGCAGTACAGGGACTGTATTTGATGTTCTTTACAAATGTTTGAGCCTTATTATACAATTCTATATTTATGTTGCAGTTAAAATTATTAGTGTCATTCAACGTTTTTGTGAATCTATAACAAGCATATAATTTAAAACCGAAAGAAAGTTCATTTAGGAAAGAGAAATAAGGCAGTTAGTAGTATGAAGGTGTGAAAGTTTAGAACAAAAAAAAAAGATCTAACAGGGGGTCTTCGGACGTAGGGGAAGGGACACTTAGATCTGAAACAGTTTCAAACGGTTTGTTTCCACCTTCAGTCTATTGCGGGCCTGGACTCATTCCACCATCGTAAGGTGGGGAAGAAATCTGAGCTGACTCTGGTGTGGACATCAGAGGACCCAGAGAAACCTCCTGAGGAGCAGGTGAGAACCACGCATGCTGAAAGATGTTGTGTGCCAAATAAGAACATACTAACAGTTCCCTGTACAGTAGAGTGTCTGTGATAGGTAAGAGTCTCTTGCCAACCAATAATATATACTTCATATATGACTATATCCAAATATCTTAGGGTTCATTAGCTTGATGTAACTTTGTCCACATATACAGTTTAGATTGTTTTATATAGTTAAACAGCACTAAAGATGCATTCAGATCACAGACATGTAGCAGCTAGCTGAGGTCAGGATGCTTCAAAGGTGTTTTTGTGAAAGCATATTGTCAGAATGTGTTGTTTGTAAAAGGAATATTTTTTTTTTCTTTCCAGGTCATTTCAATCTTTACATTAGTGGAGGTGCAGCTCAAAGCAGACGAGGCTCCGATGAAGTACAGCGCTGAGCTGAAGAGGCCTGAGGAGACCAGCTCCTAAACACTTCAACGTGCCAAACCGTACACAAACACCGTTATGGACATTTTAGATTGCACTCTTTGATAAGCTGTCCTGTAGAAATGACTTTAGAGCCAGTATTACTGTGGTGAGCTGGGAAATCACTTGAATGCCTGTTGCAGTGTTTACTTACCACACTATGTTCATAACTGCTGCCAACATCAAACTTTTACAAATAGTTACAAAATAGTTACAAAGTTTCTGTTAAAGAGACGTAAAGCTGCTCTTTACTGTCACTCACTTGTGATAGATGGAAATCAAAGTTTAGAGACATGAATCATTTTATGCCTCAACATCACAAGTTGAGGCATAAAAGGAAAGACAAATTTTATTCCTCAAAAATTCTGCTGTAGACTTCTTCAATTAGTGAGGATTGTTTAAGTGTGACAAATGTTGTACTACGTCTATTGTTAAAACTGACTTTTAACACGTTTACTTTTAGATTGATTACTTTTTTTCTGATTCAAGAATGCGTAAAGACCCATATTTGTGTTTGCAAAGCAATAGTGAGAGAGTAAACCACTGTACTGAAGTTTATTTATGTGGCTTTTGGTAGCCATCATATACGATTTAGAGAAAACGAGGCTACATAGATAGTTGCATTAGATGCAGGGCAAAACAACATTTAGATTGAAACAAAATAAACAGCCAGGTCAGCCATAAGTTATTTTACTGCTCTCTGTATTTATAGACTTTTACTGTAGAAAGAGTTTCAGATTCTTCTGACTCATAAAAGGAGGAGACTCTTAATGTCACGGTGATGAAGTACAACTCGGAGGACTTTTTGTCATTTAATTTAAATAGTTAAAAACTGGCTCTCATAGATATAAAACAGTGTTGTAGTCTAATCTGAGGTACATGTTCTGTTTTTAGAGTGCTTATCGGGACTCCTCTTAATATATAGCAACTCATTGTTACTGTTTTTAATGCAAAACATGGTAATGACTTGAATGTGATTTGCTGCTGAAATAGTTGGTGGCCTTGGATCTTAATGCGTTTTAGTTTTGCTCATCTTAGAAGTGCTTCCAACTCTTGTTTGTGTGGGTTTTTTTAATGCTCAGACCTGATTTGTGCAGCACAAATACTTTATGGACCTCACTAATATCAACTGTGAATTCAGCCTTAATTTAGTCGAGTGAAGATAAAAGCTAAATATTAGTGCTGCTGCACATTTAAACTGATTTGGCCTGTTTTTTTTGGTTTGACTGAGTCGGAGTGCCTTTCTTTTTCTTACTCTCTCACATTTTAGTTTAATGGTTTTATATAAAGTCATTGGATACAGATTAGCTGCTCAGTCTTGAAAAATATTTTTCTGTTATATTCGGATATGAAATCTATTTCAGAGGTGTTTCATGCGTTTGTTGAAATCTTAAAGACAACCAGCTTAAGTTTGGAGGTTATTTTGATTTCCAGGGACTGACGGCGTGCCATGAGCTGTAATTTAAACCAATAGATAAATTGCTTTGCAGAACTATTATGCTGACTTTTTAGGAGGTGTCTCTGCTTTCTATTTATGTGTCCTATTTAAAACCCTTAAAACTGAATTTAACTTTATAGTCTCTGTTGTTGTTTTTGTTTTCCAAAGTTATTCTGTGACATGTAACATCAAAGTGCAGTTGTTCTCTGCTTCACAACATACTGAGAAGTAGATGACTGTCTATGTCTGTAGGAAAATAAACACATGAAATCCATGAAGGGTGAACTCAAGACTGTTTTTCTTCTTAGTGCTGCTCTGGTGATCCCCTATTCACAATCCTGTGGCACTGCCCTCCGGAGTTTAGTTTATGTTGTGACTATACACAGTCTGTTTTATCATCTTGGGAGTGTCCTTAATCAATCAACCATAAATACACTGCACCAGCATGCTAGAAGATATTGAGGCAGGCTTTCGTCACAGCTGATTACCCTACCTTAATTACACGAAGGCCTACTGTATTAAAGTGGGTGAAATGTCAAGCTCCTCAAATCTGACGAGGTTCCTTCTGGAGGATTTCATTAAAAGTGTGTTAAGTGTTCCACACTGACATCTCGCGTCTAGGCTACTTGAATTTTGAATACATTTAAGTAAACTTTGCACAAGTCTATATGAAATATCTACATGACCAAAGCTTCTTTCCATTCTCTGTTTTAGTTGGACAAGGCACAACTTCACTGTTGTTCACTGTCACCACTCGTTTTTTCAACATCAACATCAATGAACCCTGTGCACAATAACCAGCATTGACAGAGTTAGCAACTAGCTAGAGAACAAGAATAGCATTAAGCTACCACAGAGCCATATTTTCACAGCAGGACATTCTGTAGCTTAAAAAAAACTATTAGATGAACCCTCTGTACACTAACTACATTTCCACGGCAGCAAAAGTTAACAACCAAGAGAACACATACTGTATAGCATTAAGCTAGCTTTGCTATTAGCCATATTTTCCCAGCAGAGTAGGCCTAAACCTGCATTTTTAAGTAGACACAAAACAGCTATTACTTATGTTTCATTTGTATGCTGAAAGTTTAAGAAAGTAACTCATGATGCTCTGTGTCAAAATGTATTTTTTGTAGTTTTATGAAGTGACTTGGTCAGTTTTCAGTCATGGATAATTTTATCATTCAGCATTTTATCATGAATCAATTGGCATTATGAAATTGTCTTTGTATTGTCTAGAATGCAATGACCCTGACTGAATCCCAAGACTCCACAATACGAGCGGCTGCTCCCAGTTTGGCAACAGGGAGGAAGTGGACCCCAACTGACGCTGTACAACAGGCAAAGTCAGCTCTCAGTCTTGGGGACATAGTAGGTCAGGTGCAGCGAAGAGGTGGTCTTGGTCTCAACAAGCAGACCTACATGGCACAAAGCAACACTCGACCGGAAAAGAAAGCTTGTAGTAGCAAAGGTCGGCACCAGGTGGAGGCAAAAATATGTGCAAAGGCTCACAGTTCCAAGCAGGGCCAATGGATGAGATGGGTAAACCTGGAGCATCAAAAAATCACATGGAAGGATGTTTGGGATATGGAAGGAAGCAGTTCAAGGAAGTTTCATCATTAGAGCCACCTATGATCTTCTTCCCACTCCTAAAAAGACCCAGCATGTCCACTCTGTCAAACACCAGGAACCCATAAGACACATCCTCACCGACTGCAGAACAAGCCTCACCCAAGGACGTTATACCTGAAAGCACAACCAGATCCTCCAGTAACTGGCTCTAATCCTGGAAGGGAGGAGGGCTACCACCAATGCACTCTCTCCCCCAACCTCTGGCTTCTATTACACCACTGCCTTCGTACCAGCAGAACAAGTCCCAAGGAATCCAATCATGAGAAGGGAAGCATGCCTATTGGATACAGCCAGGGACTGGAAGATGCAAGTCAATCTTGACCAGAAGATTTCCACCAGAAATTGTCACAAAAAATCTCAGGCTGGATTTGATTATGTGGTCAGCCTCGCTAAAGTCCCTATACATTGTGGAACTACCTGTGCCATGGGAGGCTGCAGTTGGGGAAGCATACGAACGTAAGAGGCCGAAATATTCAGATCTAGCAGCCGAGGCATTACAACAGGGCTGGAGAATGCAAGTACATCCTGTGGAGGTTGGATGCAGAGGCTTTTTTGCCACGTCTTCCACCAGGCTACTGCAAGGGATGGGAGTCCAAGGATAGGCCCCCCATCAAGTTTATGGCTCTTGCTTGTAAAGAAAGGATCCCAACTGGGCTGCAAGATGACCATCAGCCTACAGGCTGGGTAAAAGCGGGGGTGGGGGGGTGGGGGGGTGGGGGGGGGGGGGGGTAACTGGGATGCCTGGTGTTGCAGTTGAGCCCTCTGTAGATGTTATGGGCCTATCAATGAAAAATCAAGGAAGCAGGGTGCCCACCTGATGACCCCAATGAAGTCATTACCCCTACCCCCATTCAAGACATCAAGAGATTTTAATTTCCAATTACTGTAAGAGGGATTGTAAGATCAAGTCCTATGAGCTCAACTATAGTGTTGACCTGTCTTTATTTGGAACAGTAGCACACAATGTTTACAAGAGTTTTTCTTTCAGGTCCTTCACTACCTTTCATATAATTTCTTATCAGCTGAACACTGACACCAGCAAATAACAAGCAGTGACTCCTATCTCAGTCATGAGTACTGATATACTCACGCTACTTGAATTTTATAGGAGTTCAGATAACAAACCTTTTCTTATTAAAGGGAGGTTTCCCTTAAGGTTTGAAGTTCAGTTTCAAACCCCTCACTGGCAGTTTAGTGAGACCATTTCTATAGCGCTGGAAGACGTGACTAATCTTCAACAGAGAAATCCTACAGGGTATTACTCATAATATGACTTGATTGATAACCCCACACACGCACAGCCAATTAAGTCTCACCCCTTGAATTTAAAGGATAGTTTTATCTAATATTAAATCTTTATTGCAGTGACAGACAGAGATTCCAAGCAGTCTCTTGTCTCTCATTTACACAACCAAAGTCCAAAGGCCGCACATATATTCATTACAAAACTTACTGGATGGCCATCTTTGCCAAGGCCATGTATGGAAATATTTGTTAGATAACTTATGATTGTGCTGTTATTGGTTTAAAACAGTTGTTTCTAAAGGTTAACCCAACAGATAGAAAAATCAATGAGGCCTGGACAACACCCTCACCATGACAGCACAGATTCCCACCTCTAGGTAAGAGATTGGTTTCTATTCCTCTTCCTTTCCCTTACACTCCGGTTCAAAGTCAAAGTGCCATAAAAATCTATCTGTCAGCTCTCAGAGAGCTATGTAGCTGTATTTCCTCCTTCATTGAGACAGATTGAAGAGGGTGACGAGACTAACAGCAGCTCCACAGCCTGACCGAGTGGTGTTAATGAAGATCAAAGGTAGACCTCTTAATTGTTTGGTTTGAGTGACTTTTCTTTAATCTGTTTATATATATTAATTCTACAATTCTACAATTCACTTAGCAGACGCTTTTATCCAAAGCGTATATTAACCAGCGTCACTGAGCAGAATTGTTGTCTCTGTAATGAAAAACCAAAGGCGTTTGGTAAAACCTTCAATTATAATTGTCTATAATTGTGATTAGCTGAAAGCGTAACTGTACATGTTTTGTTGGAGTTTATTACGTTTTGTTGAAAACTGCAGCTCATCTTTTTGATTCTTTGTTTAGGGAGTAGGGCAGTGAGAAACCGGAGATGCTGAGAAAGGTAAGTTTATAGAAAGCCTCTCAGTAGGCCCACTGACAGTAAAATTTGTGAGTGCGTTTTTTTATTATAAGAACATTTTTGAATCATTTAAGAGCATATTTCTTTCCTGGATGTAATTTCACATTTCCCTGCTGTAAGTCAATCAAGGGAATTCATGAAGGATTTTATAACATTTTCAGATTTTTTTAGACATATATTTATTGTGCTCTGTATTTTCAGGGGGAGTGGGTTTGGGTGGACTCCGACATCGGGGTCCCCATTGGAGCCAGGGTGAAAGTTACACCGTCAGGTCAGCGGCTACTGGTGGACGATGAGGGAAAGGTAAACACCCTTTGTTAACTAAGATATTATTGATACAGTGTGTTTTTCCACATTAAGCATGATGATGAAAACTCCACCCTATGTAGATCTTGTATAATTTCTCTCTTTAACCTCTCCCAGGAGCAGAGTCTGTCCCCGGAGCTGGAGGCCTCTCTCAAGATTATGCACCCAACATCAGTAGAGGGTGTGGACGACATGATCAAACTGGGAGACATGAACGAGGCCGGCCTCCTCAGAAACCTGCTGCTCAGACACAAACAAGGCAAAATCTATGTAAGCCCACGTACAAAAAAACCTACTTCTCAGCTGACTTTTCACCTGATAAAAGTCTCAGGGAGTTTTCAAATGATATGATCACTGAATGACTGACTGACTGACTTGATTTAAGCCTGATAACTGTAGACTGTAACTAGATTGAGCTACATTATCTTAGGTACGTTGTTTTTTGCGTTGAAGTCGAGTTGGTGCTCATGCTGCTGCTACATTCATTTTTAAAGGGCTAGTTCAAACAAATCCCACAGTTTTTCTCCTCAGAAATTGGGTACATTTATTTTACAGCTTTGTCCCCACTCCTAACAAATAGCCGGATGTTATTGTATTTTTCAAAGTGTGAAAAGGTGATGGTAGATACCTTTGAACATAACGTGGTTTTCTAGATGCAATAGAGGACTAACTCATGATAATTCTCTATTTTTACTGGAAGGTTTTTATTATTCTTCATCGCCCACCAGGGTGTTGCCTGGAGAACTTTTATCCCTGATGATGGCACACCACTGATTATCATTGGTTACATGAACATCGACACTGATAAAACCCAGACAACAGACTTCCTAGCTCTCCTGTCCTCATTAGACCTCAAGCAGGTCCCCAGGCCTACTTCCAAAGCAATAATGTATACCTGATTCTGACTCAGAACTGCTCCACAGCAAATCTTAACTGTCACCCCTCTGCATCTATCAGACCACTTCTTGGCTGCAAAAAAATGTTTTGTGTGTGATTTGATTGACCTGTTCTTTTAAGAATCACAGACTGAAAATGTAAATGAAATGTAATTTAAACCTGATTTTGCTTAATGTTATTCTTTTCCTAAATGTAAGACCTACACAGGCTCAGTGCTGGTGGCCGTGAACCCGTACCAGGATTATCCCATGTATTCAGCTGACCAGGTAAGGCGGGCAC